CTGATGGGAAAGCAGCCGAGAGCTGAGGGGGGGAAGGAAGGAGAGGAGGAGGAGAAGAAAAAGGAGGACGAGGAAAAGAAAAAAGGAGGACGAGGAGGAGGAGGCGGAGGAGGAGGAGACGGGGGAGGAGGGGGAGGAGGAGGAAGAGGAGAGAGGAGAGGAGGAGGAGGAGGAGGAGAGGAGGAGGAGGAGGAGGAGGGGAGGAGGAGGAGGAGGAGAGGAGGAGGAGGAGGAGGAGAAGAGGAGGAGGAGAGAAGAAGGGAGGAAAAGGAAGAGAAGAAGGAACAGGAGGAGGACGAGGAGGAGGACGAGGAGAAGGAGGAGGAGGAGGAGGATGAGGAGAAGAAAAACAAAGGAGGAGGAGGAAGAGGAGGAGGACGAGGAGACGGGAAGGAGGGGGAGGAGGAGGAGAAGGAGTAGGAGGAGGACGAGGAGAAGGAGGAGGAGGAGAACGAGAAGGATGAGGAAGAGGAGGAGGAGGAGGAGAAGGAAGAGGAGGAAGAGGAGGAGGAGAGGGAGGAGGAGGAGGTGGAGGAGGAGGAGGACGAGGTGACGAGGAGAAGGAGGAGGAGGATGAGGAGGACCAGTGTAAAACCAAGAAACATCAACGATGTTGACGTTCGCCCTCCCTCCAAGCTCCCTCTTCATAGGCCCCCACAAAGGGTTCATTTCCATTGAAGGAACTGCCTCGTTGGAAAACAACCGTTTGAAGATCCTGAAGCATGCCAAAAACTGTTCTCGGGATTTCAACGCCACATATCAACCTGACTGCCGCGTCTTGACGATCTGGAATCGTGCCAGAGCGCCTTTTTGGACCCCAACACAGCGAACCAACATAACTATTGCACCCGCATAATCCGGAATCCTGCCAAAACACCATTTCTGGTACGTTGACCATGGGATCCCGTGAAAGTTTTGCCACCACCACCACTGAGCCGTGCATCCGTGTGGACGCGTGGGCAAGTCACGCCAAACGCGCGCTTGTGCCAGGAGACCAGACATGCGTACGCCAAGCGCGTCCGCGACAGTCTGCCAAGCGCAAAGCCACGACAATGACGACGACGAAGATAGATGATGGCAAAATGAAACCGACCTGCGTTGAGACATTTCGAACGCTGCAGTTCCCCAGCGTTGCCTTGGCCTCCCTCTTTTTCTGCGCACAGCCCATTGCTTAGGAGCACCATCGTTCTTGCAAAGTATAGTTTTGACCATGTTTGAATTACTTCCGTTTGCAACTTTCCGATATAATGCCACCTGCTTGTCGTATAGGATCTCAGGAAGAGGCGCCACCCCAGCCCTTTCCAGAACAATGGCGTTGCTGACCCTTGAAAGGAAGGACGGCGGAATACCCAATATACGTCTGACACATCTACAATGAAACGCGTCCAAACGCGCCATGTCCACTGCGAGCAGCCAAACAGTGTCCAGGGAGTACAGGAGCTTGCTCAGAACACAGCTTCGGTATATGTCATATTTTCTCTTGCGGCCCACTGCAGCATGAGACCAAACTTTCCTTAGATCTTTGAAAATCTTGCTTGCTTCCCCGAGTCGCCGCGAAACTTGCGACGTTGTTTTGCAATCACACGTGATAAGACCTCCAAGGTAAACAGCTTCCCGGGCAGCTTTTATGATTTCACCGCTGGGTCCGGAAATGGACTCCCGAGTGGAGATCTGCATTTGTACGGTTTTCCCCCAGGTCAGTTCTAACCCATATTTCTCTCCTTCTTCCAGAATAGTTGCTAGCATTTGTTCCATGTTATTTTGGTGATGCGATATCAGCAGTGTGTCGTCTGCGTACAAGATATCTCGAGTGACTATATAATCCGGCTCCGGCTCCAATTGTAAGTTAGCGAAGGCGTCGTGGAGCATGACTGTTTGCATAAGAATGAAGAAATATTGTGATAGCGGGCTCCCCTGGGCTATTCCAGCTTGATGCCACCGTTCCGAGGAGCATCCTGCGTGGTCCATGATGGTGAAAAATCTTGCGCTGTAAATCGACCGTACCAATTGCACCATTTCCACAGGCAGCCCAAATCGTTGTAAGGATTCGCACACACAATCGGGCTTCACTCTGTCGAAAGCTTTGGCCCAATCCAACATCAACAAAAGGACCCCGCCATCGTCCCTTTGATGCGTTGCATCGATCATGCGCCGAACTAGCATGAGTGCGTCTGCCGTGCCGCGCTTTGGACGGAAGCCGTATTGCGAGTCTCTCATTCTGGATTCGCTCCCGCCTTTGAGGATCCGTATCGAAAGTAACGACGCCAAAACTGTGTAGCCGGCAGGTAGTAATGATGTCGGTCTGTAGTTCTCAGGTAATGCACAATCCCCTTTTTTGAATGATAATGCAATGTTGGCGCGCCTCCAGGAATCAGGGATAACCTTTGCATTCCAGCAGTGTTGTATTATGTGCAAAAGGATATCGCAAGCATGTTTGTCAGACATGAGCACTCTCCAAAAATCGGGTGGTATGTCGTCAGGTCCTGCTGCTTTGCCTCCGCGTAGTCCGCGCAGAGCTTCTGCCAATTCCTCGGCTGTGAATGCCGCAGTATTTATTGGAAGCTCATCGCCTAGCTTTTCGTTGCTGGTCTGCCGGACGTCGCCAAATTTATACTGCCAGTGTACTGTTTCAGAATAGTCCGCCAAAACATCTGCGCGTTCAGCTGTGTCTGATGACGCCCCATCTGGTCTCTTGGTGCTTGTGTGATTCACTACTTTGGGTTTTTGCAGGGACCGCCCGGCTGTCCAACTCGCTGACCCCACCAAGTCATCCAACCATTTTGATCGATCGCGCTTACCAGATTTCCGCACCAATGCATTCAATCGTTTCTCTTGACTGTGGTCTCCATTTTTTTCGGCACTCATTTCTCTGAGAAATCAAATCTAAAGTATATTGGCTTGTCCATCTTTGTTTCGCTTGCAACTGACGCTCGGGGAGCGCAGTCGCCGCTGTCGAAAAAAACACTTTGTAGAGTTTTCTCCACTTCGTTGACGTTGGAGGTTGGAGGCAAGCCCGTAGCAGCACGTACAAATTGATTCGTAAAGTTGCGCGTCACCTCCGGGTCCTCGAACGCTTGTTTGTGCCAACATTGTTTGTGCGATTTCGGATCCTTCTGAAATTGTATGCTGGTTTCAAACATTTCCAAGAAGTGGTGAGAATTCGAAGCCGCATCCCTTTCAACCCAACAATCACATATGAAAGCTTTTTGCGTTTGGTGGCACAAGACATGATCGATCTGCGAGAACTTCGAAGGGGTAAGTACCCGATCTTTCGGATTGGTCCCGATACTCCGGCAGGTGACCTTCATGTCGTCAGAACTGTCAAAATACGTGTTAGCTACGGCTAAGTCGTGTTGGACACAGCACTCCACCAGAAGATGTCGATTCACTATTAGGTTTCCTTTGGCCCCAGATTCGCATGTACCGCCCAAACTTCGACGAAAGACATGGGGCCCAATGATATCCTCGCCCCTGGCCCCGACGTACAAGAGTTTAGCATTGAAGTCGCCCGTGACAACAGTAGCACTGTGTATTGTTGCTGGCCGGATATGGTTGTCCAGCTCCTCGTAAAACTGCTTGCGGTCTGCGTAGTCATATCCAGAATGCGGCGCGTAGACGTTCACAAGGGTGAGCATGCCACCGTGAACTTTGATTCTCAGTATGGCGATGCGGTCACTGCAAGCTTTGAAAGCAACCACTGCGTGGCGTAGGCGTGGAGCTATGATAAAACCAACTCCACTGTGAACGTGTCGATGCGGGTCGGCACTCCCAGAAAGATATATTTTATACCCATATATTTCATACCATTCGGCGCCGTTCAAGTGAGTCGCCTGCAGGCAGAGGATATCAAGATGATGTTTGTCCATGGTGGTGAACAGCTCGTCGAATTTAACTTGGGAATCTCCCCGGAGCCCTTCCACATTCCAAGTTGCTATCCGACGCACCCCGCATGGTTTGCAGAGACGTCTTGAAGTACTCCACGAGGCGCAGGCTGGAGATGACGAGTTTGGTGAAACCTGGGCATGGGGTGAAACAGAGAAAGAGCAAGGAACTGTAGCGTGAGCAATCGTATCTTTACCAATTCCCAACTCCACAGCGCGATCTCCAAGATCAGGGTGAGTGCGTGGGCGTAGTTCGTCGGCAACTTTGTCCGAAACAAAATCCACATCCAGCTCAAAGAACCCAGTTTGCAAGTGCTTGAACTTCCCCGTAGAAGGAAAGGAATGGTGAGGGAGGGCAGGAAGAGCAAAACTGCGAGGCTCTGGAGGGTGTGGTTCGGCAGCATCCGCACCAATATCCACGGAACGGTCACAAAGATTAGCTTCGTCCTGTGTACAACCAGCTGGGGGGAGAGGATGATGAGGCGATTGAGAACGATACGAATCGGTATTCCCAGTAAAAGAAACAATCGCTGATTGTGGTACGTCGAGTACGAGGGTAGCTTTGCCCAACATCGTACAGATACCAGGTGCCATCCGGAAGTCTGTGTCTGGGCCGGTTCGACAGTCCGGCCGCGATCCCTACATCCCACCAGAGCCTCTAGATATGCCTTCTCCTTTCAAGCCTCTGGACGCTCTGTTCAAGAGTGACTCGCACTTCCCCGTAAGCTCCTTCATCTTTGGGTGTTCTTGCAACTCTTTCCACTCCCCCCACTCTGTCGTCCACTCCCGCTTCAGACCTCCTCCCCCTTCCGAAACGGTTAACGCAAACTCCCCACCGACATGAACTTGATATGGGAACGCGTCATTGACCTTAATTATGTATAAAATGTGCGCGGCGCTAAGGCGAGAGCCACATGTTGAAAACGACCCGCCCTCAATCCGTGAAGCTCTTGCAAGTTTTGGGAACGAATGTGCGCGGCGCTAATGCGAGAGCCACATTTTGAAAACGACCCTCCCTGAATCCGTGAAACTCTTGCCAATTTTGGAAACAAATGTGCGCGGCGCTAAGGCGAGAGCCACATTTTGAAAACCAACCGCCCTCAATCAGTGAAACTCTTG